CAGATATGGCCCCCTGCTTCATCTCTCAGGAGCGGCTCTGCTCTGGGGGACCACCTGCAGCCTCCCTATGAAATAGGAGTGCGTGACTTCCTGGCTGGGCAACCCGGTACTTGCTGCCCAGCTCTGAGATCCCAGCCTGTGCCACACTTCCCGAACCTCCTATGATATCGTCTTTCCACCCTCTGTCCTCTCACTAGAATCCCTTCTGTCCTGGCCTTGAGCTCCGTGTCCTTTTTATCCTTCTGTGACCCACGTGTCCCTGACTTCTCCTCCCATTGCACCCCCTGCTTCCCTGACCCCAGCAGACATGGGGGAAATTTGAAATGGGTGTTTAAAACAGCCCATACCTGCTTGCGGGGCCCAGGAGTCCTCTATGTGGGGGGAAGAGTGGGCTTCTCACTGGGATGCTGGAACCAGGCTGCCCTTTCTCACAGCTCTTTCTTCTTCAGATCCTCCTGCTGCACAGGTGCCTGCCCTTTGCCTGAAGGAGGGATGCCCAGGCAACCAGGTGACAGCCCAGCCTCAGGTGAGCCACAGGACCTTTGAGCCTTCCTGCTATCCCACCGTTGCTACCCTAATGGGGTAGCTGCAGCTCTCCCTTGTCCTGGCTCTTTCTGTCCAGTGACCCCACATCCCAGAGACCAGATTGTCCCCCTGGAGCCCAGAGCTCTTGTGCTGGGTGATTACCTTCCCTTTCACCTTGACCAGATCCATCCTGTACTCAGAGTCAGCCCCACTTCCCCACCCTAAAAGCTGGGAGCTGTGGAGTGATTCTCAGGCATCGGACTGTGTTTTTTCCAGGGGACTATGACTTTCAAGGATGTGGAGGTGACCTTCTCCCAGGATGAGTGGGGATTGCTGGACGCTTCTCAGAGGAACCTGTACAGGGATGTGATGCTAGAGAATTATGGAAACATGGCTTCTGTGGGTAAGGTGTCACTGTCGCCATCTTCCACCTGCCTTTACTTCTGCCTCGTTAGTTCTTATTGTGATGCCAGGAGGGGGTCCTGACCTGGGTCTGTGTCCTGTCTGTCTCACTACTAACCAGATCACTTAATCCATTACTTCAGTCTTCTTTCTTAACAATGGGGATATAATGCTTGTCCTGCTGAGATACTATAAAAATTAAAAGTCATATATGTCAAGTTCCCGGTTTATTCAGGCATCAAAAAAAAGTTAGCTGAATTAACTGATTGAGTTGTCACTTGGTTCTGGAGAATCCTAGCAGTCCTTTTGTCTGTGGCTTAACTCGTCTCAAGCTGGTTTTGGAAAAGGCAGAGGAACCACAGATCAAATTGCCAACATCTGCTGGATCAGTGAAAAAACAAGAGAGTTCCAGAGAAACATCTATTTTTGCTTTCTTGACTATGCCAAAGCCTCTGACTGTGTGGATCACAATAAACTGTGGAAAATTCTGGAAGAGGTGGGAATACCAGACCACCTGACCTGCCTCTAGAGAAACCTATATGCAGGTCAAGAAGCAACAGTTAGAAGTGGACATGGAACAACAGACTGGTTCCAAATAGGAAAAGGAATACGTCAAGACTGTACATTGTCACCCTGCTTATTTAACTTACATGCAGGGTACATCATGAGAAATGCTGGACTGGAGGAAGCACAAGCTGGAATCAAGATTGCTGGGAGAAATATCAATAACCTCAGATATGCAGATGACACCACCCTTATGGCAGAAAGTGAATGAGAACTAAAGAGCCTCTTGATGAAAGTGAAAGAGGAGAGTGAAAAAGTTGGCTTAAAGCTCAGCATTCATAAAACTAACATCATGGCATCCAGTCCCATCACTTCATGGCAAATAGATGGGTAAACAGTGGAAACAGTGGCTGACTTATTTTCTTGGGCTCCAAAGTCACTGTGGATGGTGATTGCAGCCATGAAATTAAAAGATGCTTGCTCCTCGGAAGGAAAGTTATGACCAACCTAGACAGCATATTAAAAAGCAGAGACATTACTTTGTCAGCAAAGGTCCATCTAGTCAAGGCTTTGGTTTTTCTGGTAATCATGTATGGATGTGAGAGTTGGACTATAAGAAAGCTGAGTGCCAAAGAATTGATGCTTTTGAGCTGTGGTGTTGGAGAAGACTCTTGAGAGTCCCTTGAACTGCAAGGAGATCCAACCAGTCCATCCTAAAGGAGATCAGTCCTGGGTGTTCATTGGAAGGACCGATGTTGAAGCTGACACTCCAGTACTTTGGCCACCTGATGTGAAGAGCTGACTCATTTGAAAACACCCTGATGCTGGGAAAGATTGAAGGTGGGAAGGGAAGGGGATGACAGAGGATGAGATGGTTGGATGGCATCACCGACTCAATGGACATGAGTTTGGATAAACTCCAGGAGTTGGTTATGGACAGGGACGCCTGGCGTGCTGCCGTTCATGGGTTCGCAAAGAGTCAGACACGACTGAGTTAACTGAACTGAACTCACTTTTCTCTGTTCAGAACTGTCAGAAAGAAATCCCTGTCTGGGCATCCTGCCCTGACTTCCTCCACTGGCCTCCTGGGCTTCCTCTCCTCCCCATCAGGAGCTCAGGCCTGAGAGGGTCCTGGAGAGTAGTTCTGCCTGATTCATCTACTGTCCAGTCACATCACCTTCTTTTGTCTTCTGCAGTGGGGCCATTCACCAAACCTGCTCTCATCTCCTGGTTGGAGGCAAGGGAGCCATGGGGCCTGAATGTCCAGGGAGTTCAGTTTAAGGGGAATCCAGGTGCTGCCCCTGCAGGTGAGTTACAGAGAAATGACCAGCTCTTGCTCCTTTCACATCTGCTCTTCTGTTTCTTAAGGTCTTTTACACTATAAAAATTATGGGAAACTCTGTTGGTTGCTAGAAGGAAGAGCCTTAGCAGTGTTGCTAATAAATGTTGAGTGCTTGGGCTTCTCCCCTCTAGAGTGGCCTCTTAGATGTTGGTTTTCGGCCTTACCCCTCGCACAGCAGCCCTCTCAGGAGCAGCTCTTGCCCACGGGACAGCACCACTGTCCTCTTGTCCATTCACTGATGCTCCTCCTCAGCCCTGTACTCCTCTGCCCTTCCTGATCCTGGCAACCCTCATCCCACTTCTGCTGTTGTTCTTTGCTTGGTCCTTCCCCTGTGGTCAGCTTGCAGCCCTTGCAGCCAGCCCTCCTCAAGCCCTTCCTCTCAGCTCTTGAAGACCTTCATGTCATGTGTGCGTGTCGTGCTTCCTCTCCCCTCTCTTGCTGTTTAACATTCCCTTCTGAACCCTTTGGGTTTCCCCCTGGATTTGATCCCTGCATGTGGCCAGCTGGTATACCCATCTTGCTTCTTTCTGCTTTCCCCTTTATGTCATCTGGAATACCCCTCCATGTTTTGCCTTATCTCTGACTGTTTTTGTACAGCTATTGGCAGTCAGGCAAAAGCCTCACCACCTAAGTTCATGACATTTTTTGGTCCCTTGATGCTTTCGGTATTTCCAAGTATGGGAAAAGAGAACATTCTTTACTCCCACCCCCCCCCCCCCACTTTTTTTTTTAAACCACACCTAGTGGCTTATGGGATCTCAGTCTCCTTACCAGGGATTGAACGTGGGCCATGGCAGTGAAAGCCTGGAATTCTAACCACTAGGCAACCAGGGCGCTCCCAAGAGTAGTACATTCTCTTATGTTTTATTTGTGTCAGGAGATGAGCTCCTTGTGAAAACAGACAAGTTCATCTTAAAGCCTGAACCTTTGGAAGAAGCAATAACCTTAGCCATGCCATCAGGATGTCATGGTGCAGCAACTGTTTATGAGGGACCAGGGCTCAGAGAATCCGTTGTACAGAAGAGCAGGTTAAAGGAACGATGTGGAAACCCCACACAAGTGAGAGTTAAGAAAGAAGAGACCGATTCCAGCCACGGGGCAGGGAAAGACTGCGAAGATTCGGGAAGAAGTAATAGTCTTCATCTAAGACATATTACGTATTTGAGAGGACCCAGAAGAAAGCAGTCCCTTAAACACGGCTATGGCAAACACTTCAGGGGAAGTTCCTACCACTATGACTATAAGGAGTACGGGAAAGGGCTCAGACGCATGATGGGTGGGTTCAGCCTACATCAGAGAATTCATGCTGGACTGAAAGGCAAGGCCAAGGATGCACATGGGAAGGACTTCAGCCTTAGTTCCCATCACCAACACGGGCAGAATCTTCACCTGGTGGGGACACTGTATAAGTGCAGCGACTGTGGGAGGACCTTCAGTCGTAGCTCCCACCTTGTATGTCATCAGAGACTGCACACTCAAGAGAAGCCGTTTAAATGCAGGGCATGTGGGAAAGCCTTCAGGTGGAGCTCGAACCGGGTGCGACATGAAAAAATTCACACCAGACTGAAACCGTATAAGTGCAGTTTATGTGACAAAGCCTTCCGTCGTATGTCTGTCTACCGCCTGCACCAAGAAACCCATGCTAAGCAGAAATATCTTGAATCTACTCAGGATGAAGAAGCTCTGACCTGTGACTCAGATTTTGATCATCATTTGAGAGACCAAAGTGGGGAGAGACTCTTTGACTGCAGCCAATGTAGGAAATCCTTCCACTGTAAATCGTACATTCTTGAACATCAAAGGATTCACACCCAGGAGAAACCCTACAAGTGTCCCAAATGCAGGAAAACTTTCAGGTGGAGGTCCAACTTCACTCGTCACATGAGACTGCACCAGGAAGAGAAGTTCTATGACCTGGACAAATGTAGAGAAGAGTTGAGGCAGACCTCCAACTCCAGCCAGCCCCAGAGTGCCCCCACCATGGAAAAAGCTCTTGTGTGTCAGCAGTGTGGGAAAACTTTCATTCGAAAGAAGACTCTCATCAATCATCAGAGAATTCACACAGGTGAGAAACCATACCGATGCCATGAATGCGCAGAAGAGTTTCCTCACAGGTCAGCCTACATTGTTCATAAGAGGCAGCATGCCGCTGAAAGAAAACCTGAGGACACACCCTCGTTTAGTCATGACAGAGCAGTCCAAGTTCCTCAGACCAGTCCCACCACAGAGGAACCCTACAAATGCAGCCAGTGTGGCAAAGTCTTCCGCAATCATTCGTTCCTCCTCATCCATCAGAGAGTTCACACCAGAGAGAAGCCTTATAAGTGCAAAGAGTGTGGGAAATCTTTCAGATGGAGTTCTAACCTCTCCCGACATCAGAGGACTCACTCTTTGGGAAAACTGGATGAGTACTGTGAAAGTGAAGATGCTCTAAATCTTCAGTCACAAGTCCTCACTGGTGCAAAACCTTTTCGGTGCCAAGAATGTGGGAAAAACTTTACACGTAAAAGAAGTCTTTTAGATCATGAGGGAATACACAGTGGAGAGAAGCGCTATAAATGCAACCTGTGTGGGAAATCTTATGACAGAAATTATCGCCTTGTTAATCATCAGAGAATCCACACTAAAGAGAGACCGTTTAAATGTCAGTGCTGTGGGAAAGATTTCATTGGAAAACATACCCTCTCCATTCATCAGAGAAAACACATCAGAGCGGCCCAGTGTGAAAGTGGTGTGGCTGGGCTGTCTTCTCGCCAGGAGACAGGGGTGAAGTTACATGAATTAAAATCAGGTGAGGAGAATCCTCTTGGAGATGGTGAGAAAACTTGTGATCAGAGATCTGAACTCCCTGGACTCCAGGACATACCCACTCGGGGAAAGTGCCACAAATGTAGCACATGTGGGAAAACTTTTAGCAAGAGCTCACAACTCATCAGCCACAAGAGATTTCATACTCGGGAGAGGCCCTTCAAATGCAGAGAGTGTGGGAAGACCTTTAGGTGGTCTTCAAACTTGGCTCGGCATATGAAAAATCATATTAGAGATTAACTTGGGGTCTAACAGTTGGGGAGAGGGGGTCCTGGTTACCCTACTGTAGAACCCCTGATGGTAGGGGATGTGGGGCAGACCTCACAGAGGGCCCAATCCTTTTTTAGAAGCTTGTGGCAGAGAATCCTGAGGATTAAAAAATGTAGGGCACCTCCATCCTGCTGGAAAATGAGATGCTGGGGAAGAGCCTCAGTGGGTTTCAGAAGGAGGTTTGGGCCCCTCGAAGTGGTCTTCTCACTGTGGCCTGGAATTTCCCCTCAGCCAGATTTTCTTCTGTAACTCTGAAGGGAGAGACCATTGCACTTTGTGGTGGTTCAACAGAATGTCCATGGCATGGTAGGCTGTGGCTGCTGGGAACGGTCCAGTTGGATCCTTAGTTTGCCTTTGAGTGTGACTTATAATGGTGTCTAGTCTATTTGACCTGAAAAGCACCAGCAGCAGCAAGAACTAGTGTCTCCAGATACCTCCAGGGGAGTTCCGGCTGTGCCTTCAATCTTCACAGCTGACTTTGGGTATTTGCTGTGGGCATAACAGTTGTCTCAGCTGCAAGTGGAAGAGAACAGGGTCCTGGGCTTGATCATCTGGAGAATGAAGCTCTCTCATCGCCAGCTCCATCCCCCACGTTTGAATGGACAGCAGCAGTCCATCTGCTAAACAAATGCGTCAGGCATCTTCCATATCAGGCCCTGTTGTGTGGGCCATAGACCAGCAGGGGACTGGAGCAGAAAAGTCTGCCATCTTGGATCTTCACAGACAATAAGCAAATGAGATATATGTAATGTTTTGGGTGATGATACGTGTTGTGGACAGAATGAATCAGCAGAGTGAGAGGGAATGCTGGGTTGGAAGGTGGATTGGGATTTTAAATGGGCTGGTCAGGGAGGGTGTCAACTGAGAAGGTCAGATTTGAACAAGGACCCGAAAGAGATTATGGAGGAAGCCACGTAGGTCCCTTGTTCCTACTCGGGAGCCTTCACAGGAGGTAGTCTCCTTAGGGAATGGCCCATAGGCCCCTGAACCAAAGTGAAGTGAGCCATCTGGAAGCGAGAAGCCCAGAAAGGTAGATGGCCAAGCCATGTGAGCATCATGGATCCTTGCTGGGCCTTGGCTTCCTCAGAGGGGAACTTTTGGACAGTTTTGAGTTGAGGATTATGGTCTGAATCTGAACCATTACAGAATGTAGTTCAGATTCAGAGTCTCACGTGTTGAGGGCCCAAGGTCATGGGAAGGGCCTCAAAGTCATCAGGTATGTGTTCCTGGCTTGCTGTACCTTTTCTTGGCAGGATGATCTTGGGTGAATCACTGAACATTGGCATCTAAAATTAGAGGGGCCAACTCTGCTACTCAACTGTTGAGATTGGTGAAAAGGAGGCTTGACTTACTAAGATTCTGGGTTAGGAGTCTGATCTCTAGACCAGAGCTTCTCTGAGCTGCAGATCCCATGTCAGTTGACTCTACAAACACAGAAATACCCCTTTTCTGTCCATCTTTTCATCTCCCTACTCCCTGTGCCGCCTGGTACCTCATAGAATTCCTGCCCCAGTAGGGGTGTTTCTACTGCCATTTTTATAAAATGATAAATATTTATTTTTAAACATTCAAGTCAGATTTTTAAAAATGTAAAGAGTGAAGTAAAAGCCAACAGAAATCCCTCTGTACTGAGGTAAACCTTTAATATTTTGGGATTGTACTGATGCAGTCTGTTTGGTAACCTGAGTTTTAAAATAATTATGTAAGTAGTATATGATTATGATAGAAATATTAGTATGTACAGATTCACTAAAAGGAAAAGTCTGACTACTTGGAGCTAACTACTAAACATTTTGGCGTAGTCAGTGTTGGATTTAACTTCATTACTCTTCCCTGAACGCCCCTGGGCTGACCTGACTCGTGCTGTTTCCTTTCACGTGGAGTGCCACGCTCCTGTCTGATCTGGCCCAGGTCTCCACTCTTTCAGTCCCAGCCTTCCCTGACCCTGGTCCCACGTCTCCTCGTGCCTGCATGTTGCTTTGTTGGGTGTTGTCTGGGTTTCCAAGTTATTCCCATTATTGCAGCCAGATTGAGTACTCCAGAAGCCAGGTTTGGGTGTTTTTTTCTGGGCAGAGTAGATTTTTCACAAAGTTGCCTCTTTTAAGGAATGTAGAACTGAATTCATTGTTTTAGCTAAGTCAGGATTGGATCTTTTTGAAGGTGTTTGTGAGTGAAATGTTGACTGGAGACTGCCCACAAGTGTGCCTGCTACTTGGGAGCCCAGCCGCTGGTGTCTCCGAGCCAGAGGGGACCCAGTTGACTACCGTGGCCAACTGTGCTCACCTCACACCCTGTCCTGGTCTGGAGAACATACCCCTTCTTCCAAACCTGCCACGTATTCTCCCACTCCCTTGGAGGAACTGAAATTAGGGCTCGTGGGAGCCAGATGGGCTGGGACTCCACAGAGGGGTGGATATCAGGAGATGTTTCAGGCAAGTGTTCAGTGTGGTTGGTCTCACCCTTGCTGAAAGAACCTGTCAGTCCAGACAGAGGTGAGTGTAGAGAAGAACATGCAGGAAATGTAAATGGATGTGGATCATCTTATACTCATGAAGTTGGTTAAACTTTAGAAGCCCTGGTGTGGGTAAGTGTGTGGTATATGGGAACTCACTGCCATGGAAATGAAAATTGTGACAACTGTGCCAAGCAATATGTAAAATCTGGTAAAATTGTGTATATTCCGCCACCCAGAATTCTACTCCTGGATAAACCCTAAAGTAACTCCATTTGAAGAAGGAAATGTGTCTATGACTATTCATTGCAGTACTGTATAGATAGCAAGATTAGGAGAAGCCTAAATTTCCATCAGCAGAAGAACAGGTTGTTTTTGATAAGTGAATGTGAAAGAACTAGAGTTACATCTTTCAACATAGATGAATCAAAAATGAGGCAGAGAAAGTTGCAGAAGCTACATATACCATTTATGTAAAGTTAAACATACTGTGTTATCTGTGGGCACATTATTTAAACTTACTCATGTTTCACTTTTTCTGTAAAATGAGATAGTAGTGCCAACCTCACAGGGTGATGGGGGAGGGGGACAGTTAATGAATTAATGCATGTAAACTGCTTAGAATAGTGGCAGGCATGTAAGCATTGTTGGCATAAGGTAACCAGTGTTACTGTTTCACACAATAATATATTTCTTGTGATTCAAGTTATATGAAATGAAGAGTGTTAAATCCTGTGTTAGAATGATGTGTGAAAGCCATGCTCTGCCTTTCCAGAGCAGGAGTTGCTGATGGAATCAGGGAGGGTACATGGAGGTTTCAGTTGTGTTTTATTTCTTTTAAAATGTTGATGTAGTTGGGTCAGCATGTTGATTTAATGGGATATGTGATGGGTTCTTTTCTAACTGTGTGTTTAAAATATCTCAAAATAAAAGTATTTTTAAGCATGGGCTCTGCTATTTCATGATTTTTTTAGAAATCCTGGCTCTGCCATTTATGTGGTGTTTCCTAGAGTAGGCCCTTCCTTCTCTCAAGGCTTCAGGTTCCTTGCCTGCAGAAATGGAGAGCAGCACAAATGGCTGTTAGTCCAGGAGTGGTTCAGCAGGTCTGAAACATCCACAGTGGTAAACCAGGCAGCCGCTGGAAAGAATGGGGATGTTCTCCATGTATTGACATGTAATCTTCAAGACCTGCAGTTTAAAAGGATATTATAAGCTATGTCTCCTTTAATTCCTCCTTGCTAAAAACAACAAGTGATGTCAGAAGCTGTAGCCTGGGATCCTGTGGATGGAAGATGGTTCGTCAACCATTGCTCTGTTTTAGGGTAGTGAGTAGGTTTATACACCAGCCACCCTTCTTTTTAAGTTAATGCTAAGCCAGCTAAGAAGAGCAAAGAGGTTTTATATCAGCCAGGTTCTAGTCAGGAGCCAGAAACCATGTCAGTTACTTTAACAAAAAATTTGCAGAGAATTTTTCGCTAGATCTATCTAAGTAAAAAGGCAAAAAGAGAGAGCTAAGGTATCATAGAGGTAGTAACTGTGAGGAGGAGCTACCACCCACGACTGGAGGAGCTGAGATGGAATCTGGCCTCATTGTGGATGTTTGACCACTGACAGATTTCAAGCCCTGCCCACATTTTGCCTCACATCTGGACAAGCTGAAAAGAAATCCCAAGCACATCCTCTCAGCTTTCAAGATGACGTTTATGCAAACCCTGACCTTTTTAGTTGCACTGGAATCCTTACCCCTAACCACAATAAAAACCAGAGCCACTCACCCCTCATTTTACCAAGGCAAACCAGCTGGCTTTGGTACCTGTCCTGTTGTCCCCACAGACCCTCATTATGTGAATAATAAACTTTTTCATAACCTTTTGATATGTTGTGATGTCATCAGTTTCAACATTCAACAAGGTTGAGATGGTGGTATCATATTGATTCTACCTCCACAGGGCAAGCTACAAAGCAGGAACCAAGAGGAGTGGTTTGAATTAAAACATTAGGTAGACATTGCAAGTGGACCCCTGTGGAACTGAGTTCAGACCTATGAGAAGGAGAGCACAGCCGGACTCTACTGCTGCTACCAGAAGGAACTGCCCCAGAAGGAAGAAGCATTGGGAACAGAAAGCAGTGCCCACAAAAGGCAAGAAGGAACAAGTCTCCTCTTCCTCCTATGTTAGGATTCTCCAGAGAATCAGAATCAATAGGATGTGTGTGTGTGTGTGTGTGTGTGTGTGTAAATAGAATAAAATTGGCTCATGTGGTCCAAAATTCGCTGAGTGTGCCAGCAGGTTGGAGATCCAGGAGAGCGCATATTCCAGTTCCGCCCAAAGGCTGTTTGCGGTAGAACCTGAAAGAGCTGATGTTGCGGGTGAAGTTGGTAGACAGACTGCTAGAGTATTCTTTGTTGCCTGGGAAGGCCAGTCTGTTTTATTCCAGCATTCAACTGATTAAGAACAGGCCTGTCCACATTATGGAGAGTAATCTGCTTTACTCACACAGCCCACTGATTTAAATGTTA